TCTATTCGAACCATTTAATAAAAAAACAATGCATTTTGCGTTTGGCATTTATTGAAAATTATAACGGGTGATTCAAGTAGAGGTGAGAGTGAGGCCGCTAAACCTTCCCAAGCGACATCGGTTCGCTCCTGGACTCTTGAAAAGTTCTGAGAAAATCCAACGATTTCGAGAAACGTAGATGACAAGCTAGGAAGCGGGAGGAACCACGTGACATCTAAAAGCTCCATCTCCTTTTTGAGAATCCACTGCACAAAGCTGAGCATTCTTTTGTTATAAAGTTACTAGACAAAAGTCTAAATACAATGAAAAAAGGTTGCATTGACAGTAGGAAAACATAAACCGTGATTGGTGCAGTGTATTATTTACAGATGAATTAACTTTTGTATTGTTCAACTCCGTGAGACGTGGACTTATTCAAACCAGTATCGCTAAAGGTGCATGTTTGTGAATGCTTCTCTGCTCATGGATTTGAGGATTTGAGGTGCCTCATAGAAAACATGAACGCCAAAATAAACGCTACATGCCCTTTGGAAATCGAAATTTCTGAAACTCAAGATGCTAGAAAAGCGCAGAATATTGCAATAAAGCTGAAAACGAAAAGGTGTATGCGGAACGTAATCATTGCGACAGTGTTTGCTGTTATGACAGAGTTTAACGTTCTTCGGTAAGGTTGGCGACATTTGTGGCAAAATAACGCGTTCGATGAGTGAATTGTGAACAATCCCTTGCTCAGCATTACCAAATCGGCATAAAAGTGTTCCCTACGATAACAAAAATGAAGAAAAAAGTGAGCAAATATGAAAATAAATGTGTTGCTGCTTTCCTACGGATTACGTTACTAAAGAAATATATCCCCCTTATGTATCTAATTTGACAATTTCAAAGATATAAAGGCCTCGGCGTTTGATTACAAATGGAGTAGAATAACTTAATTAAGATGTGATTTGACTTTAACTCGTGCAAAAAATCTGCGAAACATTGATAAAGCTTCAAATTACAAACGACTTATTACTCCCTATTAACCTTTGACCGCCCATTTGAAGTATTTAACTGTAAGTATATATATGTATATAAACATATATATACATCCTCTAAAGTGAAGGTCGGACCTTTGGAAATAAATATGAAAATTTATTCGTTATTTATATGACATCAGCGTCATATTTATTGTGGGTATCATAATTAAAATGGAAAAAGCGTTCTTAATTCACTCTTTTTGTGGACGTTTTTGAGTACATTTAGCTAACCTATTTGCATAACTGAAAATTGAATTGGTGGAAAAAATAACACCTAACACATTTGCGCATAATTTTTCGCTTTAAAAATATTCAGTTGCACTGTTCTATTTATACACATCAATTTAACGGTTGTGTGTTAAGATGATTTTTATATAAGCTAAGGAAACATCAATACTTGCTTAAGTGTACAAAGGTAAATACCGCTAAAAATAAACAACTTTTACAAATTTTCTTGTTAAATAAACGTGCAAAGCAAACTGAGTATAAACCAAGTAACAGCCGAAAAAAGTATTGCCACCAACAAAAAACGCTCCCGTTAAAAAATCACCTGGGCGGAAGAAACTCGGAAAGAAGGACAAACATATTTTTCATCAATAAAATTCATATCCGAGTGCCGTAGTTTACTGCTCAAATAATACTATGCATTATCATATAAATTTCTACGTTTCATTTCATTTCTCTTCTACAACATACTTTTTCTGAGGGCACATAAAGTCAATGGCTGAGAAACCGATTGGTCAATCTTGGCAAAGTTGAAAACCAGCATTCAATCTGTTATTGGCAAAATAGAAACAACCATGCTGAAAAAGTTGTGGATCATTGATCTACAAGATAGCATTTCGTTATCTTGTATTGACATTCGGGTTGTTTTTATAGATATGTGGCCTTCAATGAGGCAATACTTGATTTACACTCGATTTGGCTTTCCATTTTACAATGACCAGACTTACTAAGGAATAACGTTTGCCATTTTGCATCGCATGATGCATTCAATATGCGATGAAGCTAACTTTTGGTTGATTGTGTACGTTAACCGATAAAATTGTCGCATTGGTAGTGTTTATAATTCACAAGCTATTATTGAGACGCCGTTACATCCTCAAAGGGTCATTGTTTAATATGCTCTTTGGGCAGAAGGAAGCATTGGCCCACATTGCCCATGACGTTACAGTGAATGAGAAACGCTACAGAGCCATGATTAAAAACTTACAATACCTGAACTTTATGACCTTTGTTTCCGCCGAGGCGGCACTACATTGAAAATCGAGTTCGGCCACGAAGCTATAATATCCTTCACATACACAAAATATTCTTTACAAGAACTTTCATCGGCCCGTTTCTATGGCTGCTATATGATATATTGACTCGATTTTAACAATTCGGAGATTGTAGCAGATTGTTAAATTTCGTGAAAATATCTCTTCCAAAGAAAACAGGAAGTATTTTAAATCTAGCGCCCCCTGGTGGCGCCATTTATATGTCTGTACTGGTGCGTTAGAATCTGCTACCTTTATCGATTGTCCATTGAGAATTTCATGACATTTCATATATTGGAAGTGAAGTTATTGCGTTTAAAGTGTCAGTATGTTTGTGGTATCGGTGCGAAAATAAGCTTCGAACAAAGAGTAAACATAAAATTTTGCTTCAAATTTGATAAAACTTTTACCGAAACGTTTCAATTGATGAAACAAATTTATGATTGCCTATCCCCAAGCAGAGTTCACGAATGGTTTCAACGTTTTTAAAGTGGTCATGAGGACATGAGGATGATGGAAATTCCATCAAAACTGTGCGTAAATTCATCAAAAATCAGCTGAAATCATCATTGTAATTCATGGAAACAGAACTGAGCATCTCCAAAACATTTTGAGCAAACATTTGGGCTACGAAAGGTGTGTGCACGGTTTGTTCCGCACAAATTGACTGACGACCTAAAATTGCCCAGAATCATTAAAGAGGTTAAAACGGACAAAAACTTCCTTTACCATATTGTGACTGGTGACGAAACGTAGTGTTTCCAATATGATCCCGAAACGAAACGCCAGAGTGATGAATGGAAGGCACCAGACGAGCTGAAAACCAAAAAATCGCGCATGGAGAAGTCAAAAAAGAAGACAATGCTGATTTGTTTTTATGATTCCAAGGCTATTGTCCACAAAGAATTCGTTCCACCCGACCAAAACGTTGATGCAGTATTCTACCTTATATTATAGTTTTGAAGCGTTATGCGAATATGCATTTGTTGCACGATTATGCGCCGTCTCATCGATCGACGCTTGTGACCGATTACTTGACCAAAATCACATTTTAATCATTGACCACTCCCCGTATTCACCTGATTTGGCACCGTGCGATTCCTTCCTTTTCGGAAAACTGCATTTGCCCATGAAAGAAAAGCGGTATACTGGCGGCCATACCGGTCAACGAGCTAAAACACTCCTTCGACATGCTTTTGGACCGTGCAAAAATCATTATTGAAGCAGAAGGAGCCTAATTTGAATAAAATAAATTGATTTTGCTCAAAAACCATTTCTTCTGTTTTTTTGTTTAAGGTCCTGTTTACTTTGGAACGCATCTTGTACATTTTATAGGCTCTCTGGCGTTTGCTTTTCATGTTACAACCATCGTATCACACTTAATATACCCCGTTCAGGGTATAAATAGGTTATCTTTGAAACATACATAAGTGTTTGGAATGAAGTGATAGAAAGAAAATATGCACATTATAGATGCGCAGTATGCTTGTATTTGCTTTGTGCAATAAAACAAACTAATTTGTTGCTGGAAATCAATTACAAAAATTAACATACATATATACACACATAGAGGTACCGAAATAAAAATGGAGAAGCGCACCGAAAAGGTAAATTAGCATATTATACTATATACATTTATATATATGTATATATGTATATATCGAGTAAGTCGAGTAAGTGCACTGGGTATCACTTGCTTATTGAATTAATTAGAACAGTCAGAAAAAGCTGGAAAGCCAAAATTCCTCTTTATTCGCTGGAATTGAATAAAATTTAATGCAAATTCGGCATGTAAACAATAAGGAATCGAGAACGTGACATTCGCTGTAGCGCAGACGACAGCGGCGGCAATAATATTGAGTTCGCACATTATCGCAGCAAAAATACAAACCCATATGCATATTAAGTTGGGTGTGTGTGCAGCTATGTGTGTATGTGAGTGTAGGTGGCAACATTAACGCGTGTGTGGTTTTACAGGCGTTCTTAGAATCATTCCTGTTTTGGCTTTAACAAAGAATCAGTCATAATTAGTATTTACTTAGAAGTAGCAATAGGCTGTTAACTTCAAAGCAAAGAAACGCGCAAATACACTCTTCCGCAAAGTTCTAAGCTGTATGTTCATTGGAAAACGGGCATGTTTGCAATCTGCAGCATTTGCGGCTGCCGAAGGTGCTTGGCGACAAACGCTACCTAAGGTATCATAAAATTTCAGTATGTGTAAGTTTATTGTGTATGTGTATATGTGTTTAGATGTGCGCATGCGCGCGCATGTGTGTGCGCATGGAAATACTTTGTTTGCCGCTCTTATTGCCAACGCTTTTTAAGCGCACTGCTTTGCGTTCAACATTAAGCGTTCAGTATTTAAGTTTGCAATTAACACTTTGGCACTAATTGAAATAAATTATTATTTAATCCAACAACAGTGCGTTAGTTGAAGTGAAGTAATCGCAAACGAGCAGCAAATGCTTTACGATTTGAGCGGCGTGCGTGATTTACTAACGAATAATGCTCTTCGAACAACACCATAAACGCAACAATACAGTTAGATTTTCGGTAAAATAATAATATAATGATTTGATCGCATAATTTTGGCATCTAAAATTTTAAAACGTCGAAAAGTCCTGCGTGCTTGCTGAGCTTGACTCGAGTGCTGGAATTTTTGCTGCCAAACACTTTTGAAAAATGTGATTTCACACTAAATGCGAGGTGATGGCAGCTCACTCACCATTTTCTGAATAAACATTCTGTTCTAAGTCTCCGCCTTTTTCACAGTTCTCAAATATTTTTCGTTTATTTTTTGCAAGTTCGCACAGATTGCACTTTGTTCTACTGAATATACTTCAATTAGCACTTATCTCACTAATGCCATTAACTTATTTTCACTTTCGATAGTCACTTTTAATGAGTTTTTTCTCAGTGTTGAATTTTTGCTGCGCTGCGCCTTACTGTAGGCTCGTTAACTCGCTCGTTCAATACGCGACGGCAATGAGGCTTTGAATGATCTATAGTAGTCGGCGGAGCTCTTATTTATAACCCCAAAAAATCTACGAAATATCTGCCAAACGCGCTTGAACAGCAGCCGAAGCGGCAACAACAAACACCAGCACAAATGAAATGATAAGCTACAAAATGACAACAACGATAAAAGTGCGCATTTGCACTTGGACTTGTACTAGTACTTGCTAAGCACCTGTCTGTATGTGTGCGTGTGTTAATGTAAATAAAGTAACTAGCTTCGCTGGGCGTCAAGCGAACACACGTTTGCCGCGTTGTGTCAACGCGCACGCGTGCGCTTACTTATATGTAGATGCTGGTCATGCAGGCGCATAAACAACCCGCTGTCACGATGAGTATCCCTTTTAAGAATTTACGCACACGTTATTGGCGATCCTTTAATTGGGGGTATGTGAATCGATGCAGTGGCGTAAAACTTTGCACTTTTTATTTATTGTTGCTATACTCAAATTGTTGTTGTATGCGCAACGATTACAATGGCCAGCGTTATAAGCCACTTAACGGTGCATCGTAAACATTTTACTTGCCTTTTTTTTGCACTAATTGAGGCAGTTGCGAATAAAATTTCACACACACACACGCATAATCATCGAGGGATGCTTAAATAAACAATTAGAATTCACTGCGCATGGCCAGACATATGCAAATTTGCACATTTAAATGGGTATATCAAAGTGATATACATGCATTTTTTATGAGTTAAAAGAAAGTGTTCCAATTTGGTAGCGGCAAGGCCATATAGGATTTCATTAGGTTACAGGTTCTGCAGCTGATTTCATCAAACAAAAAATCTTTTACACAATATCTCATACATTCTATTCTGACTCTTTTACATGCAATCCGGTATATTCGTCGTCTGGTTTTCGATTTATTTACAACTTTGTCAAATTGTTTCAATTGACACTGATTAATTGGTTTTTTTGAAGTGTATTGACATGGCACTGCGCGTGGGGATTTTTCGACCTTAACAATGATGACACTCAAACGAAAACAGTTCACAGTTACACAACGTAATATGCACATAATAGTAAATATGAGCGGAAGTGGGTTAATGTAGAAATTAGGCATGGTAAAGTGTCGAATTTCAGCTAAAAGTGGGTAGTGCCATACTAATAATACGTATACATATGCGAGGTATATTCGGAAAATAACGGGAATTTTTAAATTTAAAATTACGCGGGCTTAGAGAGTCCAATCCTAATTTTTTCTATTATATTGACTTACATTGTGATACAAAATTATCCGAAAATTGTAAATGAAAGCAAATTATTTAATTATTCATCAATATTTATTTTGTCAGCTTCAAAGTAATCTCCACTACATATTATACACTTATGCCAACGAGTCTTCTAGTCCTCGAAACACTTCTCATAAGCAATTTTTGGGTTCGTCTTCAGTTTCTTCACCGAATTTTGTTTCATTGCGTTGGCTTTAAATTCGGTCACAATCGTACCCTTTAAAAAAAAAAATTTTTTTGCTTTATCGGGACGAGTCGAGCAACAACGCGTTGCATACCCAGCATATACTTTATTATTTCGTTTTATTTTATTTTGTGTATGTTAAAAAAAGTTATCGTACTTACCAATGAGTTTTCAGCAATATTGTTATCATTTTAATGTTCTTAAGGTGGTGAACAGAGTTTTTGGTATTTACATTGGAACAAAAAACATTCGGAAATTGTAATTAATTTAGCCGGGTAAATGATATAAAAAAATTTTTTTTTTGTTAAATTGGTTAGGCTGTCCTTAATTACTATGCCGAATGTGAGCCCGATGTGTAAACAAGTTTGTTTACTGCAGCTGCTTAAGTCGGTACACCTCAGACTTTGTCTAAAATTTTGTATTTCTAACCAAATTTCGTGTGCCTCTCCAACTGATGAAAATATTAAAAAGGTGAGGGATATACTGCTTGGAAATCGTCAGGCAATTGCTCAGAGATGGCAAGAAAACTCGATGTTTTTCAAAAAGAATACGATTGTGATCGAATTTAATGCTAAAACCGCAATTAATACATCTATCACCCATTGTACTCACCAGATTTGGTTCCGTTTGATTTTTTCTCGTTCCTCAACCTGAAATTGCCGCTCCGTTATGAAAATTTTTCCGAGGACTGGAAAAATTTTTGGCAAAAGTGTGGGTGGGGATTACTTTGAAAGGGTACAAATAAATATTGATGAATAATTAAATATTTTGCGTTTTCAGATGGGACCACAATTGCATTGTTATTATAAGTTAGCTTAAGGGTATTATAGCTTCAGTGCAGTCGAAGTTAACTTATTCTCTTGGTTTTTTATGGTTCTTAAAGTGTATTGTCTTTTTCTCAGATGCGTCAGAGTTTGGAACTCATAACAGCGCCGTGTACTGATCGCAGCCGAAAATATTTCCAATTTTTATTTGTTTACTAGCTGACCCCGCAGCCGTTGTCCTGCGTGAAGTTATGTGTTTTGAAATGAAATAAAAGTTAAATTTATCATTTTTTTTTTTTTTTTGCAATGAAACGCAGCTTGATAAACAACATTATTTGGTTACTGTTCCGGTGGGTAAATGTACAGAGAAGATAGTTTTCCAACCTGTGAGCACATCACGTATTTTTGGCCCTGTAAAAATATAGCAAATCCAAATTTATGCCACACACTGTCTATCTATCCTTGTGTCCTGTTGATTGTCATCTCAGATGCAATTTTCACTGGAAACGGAATACGTTTGAACTGAAWTGGCAAATTGTTAGAACTCAAAGGAATTCTTAGAATCTAGCATTCTGCCCCCCTCCATGCGATCCAACTTTAGGACGCAAATGATGCGGTGGCATACCAAGCCTGTCCAAAGAATACAATAATGGTGAATATAGTACGATCCATATGTTGTCAACTTCGATTCGACTATCGACTTCGACTATTCTAAATTGAATGCTGAATGTTCTGCCATTGTCGTCTGGTGAGCGACGCCGACAGAGTGGATATCCATCATCTCTAATTTGTGCTTCCTAAAGAAAGGCACGTGGGGATACTGTTTYGTGCATTTATTGTCAGACATACAAACCGAAGTGGGATTGTGGTGTCCCCAAGGTCCATGGAACATATTGGTTTTCATCACTTCGTAAAATACTGGATCTTTCTCTGCATCAGGAATTTCCGCAGAAAATATTTCATCAATCATGGTATAACCACCATCCACCATCCAAAGAAAAATGTGTGCGTGTGGCTAAATTCTCTTTTGCCACTCAACAGAGTACATTTAGCATTTAACAGCATCACATAAACATTGCTTCAAGATAAAGTTCATCAAACATAGTAGCTGTTGTTTGAAAAGTCGTGCTGTGACTTCGTGACGATCGCTTGCTGATTGAAAACGATCCATAATTCCGCACGTATGTCACCGCATCCTGGGAGCACTTCTTGTCTCGCTTTGCCTTGGGCTGCCATACGTGGATGGCAGAACGCGGACCGATATTAGAGCGACCTGTTCGGAATTGATAACTTTGTGTGAAACACACGTAAAGTTTTCACTGAATAAGTTTCAATAGTTTTTCTATTGAATAGCCGGATTAAAAAGCAAGCGACCGAAAATGAAGATTAAAAATAATTTACAAACAAAAATATTGAAAAACAAAACTAACAAAAATTGATAAAAAAAAATTGATGGAAAAAAGTTACTTTTTGGAACTATTCAATTTTCCGATATTTTTGTTTCTAAACCTTCCCCGATCCACAACGAATAACCTCTGAAAATTTCATCAAAATTGGTGCAGCCGTTCTCTTAGCGTTACTAACAAACAAACATTACTCGTTTGTATGGGAAAAGCCAAAGGGCTGTGCTTAGGCTGTTTCCGGCAATTATTCGAATTTTTCTTGCCGTAAAAACCATCTTTGAACCTCAACGAACGTTTAGAAAAAAAGAATTGGCCAAAATTGGTCCAGGCGTTGTTGAGTTATGCGCTTAGCAACACATTTTGCGATTCATTTTTATATATAAAATAAACAAGTAGAGTGTATTTCAAGTGCGCGAAAATAGTTAATCCATTACGGTTTTTAACTCAAATGAATTTTTATTCAAGTTCAGTATAATTCGGTATAATTGATATCAACCTAACCCGTCCAAAAAATGTCATTTGAAGTGATATCAAGCTTCAACTTTTTGTTGGTATTACGGTTTTCAACACTGTGTTAATAAAGTTGACGCTACTGAATGAAATTTTGAAAAAAATTTATAATAAATGGAGAACAGATCAATTCTAAACTGTTTTTAATCTGTTATTTGTAAAAATATATTAAAAAAAACAAGGGACCAAAATAGGTCCCAGTTCAGAAGTCGAAAAATAACATTAAAGGATTGTACAATATGATGCTAACAGGAGTCTCTTCGATATTCCTCATTTTTGAATTTTAATCCACTGAACACATAGACCTGGTTCAACAAAATAAATTGGTTGATCTAAAATTATATTGATTGAATCCCAAATCGTAATAGGAGCATAATATAGTTTTTCGTAAACCGCATATTAGTCAAAGCAAAAGAACTAGGCGCCCTTTATAAGGGCTTTACTACTACTACTAGTACTAGTATATAATATTTGTTTAAGTTGTTGGTGTATATAATCTATTAGTACAATTAAAAATAATATAGTTTGCCACCTGCTGTGCTAGAGCTTTAAATTGAATTTACTACATATTCGTATACATACGCATTAAAAAAAATATAAATAAATAATAAGACAAAGTTTTTTATTATTCCACAAACGAAAAATTAAAAAATATGTAAATTTTTTTTATGAGTAATATCGCTTCTTGTTTGTTTCAATAATTATTTTTAATAAAAAAATTAATTAATCACAAAATATTCACAAAATATGTTGAATAAGGTAAACTTGGGTAATTTCTCTCTGTGTTTACACTTTCTTATTCTTGGCTATATTTTTTCATTGAAATGTGTCATTGCACCTGGTATTCGATATCGACACAACATCGGCAT